CAAGGGGGAAGATGTGTACAATACTACGGATTTTATAAATACCAGGTCTGGGAAATACCCTTGCGGATCATATTAAAAATTACATGTAATAAGGAAGTGCGCCTTTTTTGGAAAAGAGCTCTCTAGTTAACTTTAAATAAAACTTACGCCAAGATGTAGTAAATCAATCAGAGTTTTGGGTAAATGGAATTGCTAAAAATAGTTAACTAATATGGGAATAATACTTATTGAGAGATATATCATTACATGTAACTATTTTTATCTGTAAATATCCTTTAAATAATAGGTAAACCGTTATATATGAACCTTTAAATATAAATTACTGTGGCCAAATATAATCCTGCTTAATTATCTGCAAGAAAGCTATACTATTGAAAGTCCTTCAACCTACTATTAATTTCAAGAAAACCCTGCCAAATCCAAGGATCCCTTTTTCCCAACTTCATGTCAAAATCCACTACCCCTTTGGGTCAGAGTAAACACACACAATTTGCCCCGCTCGGTTGTGGATTTTATTTTGGGCGAGCTTTTGGGTTGCGAATCCTCTGCTCGGTCCACGATTTAAGTTCAGTGCTTGGGATTGTGAGCTCGTCCGTGCAAGGACTTCTCCGGGGAGCCCTACGCTGGCGCGGCATGTTTATGTCCTTTTTTTTATGCGGCCCGCATGACGTGCTGCACTGCGCACTGCGTTGCACCTCTCCTTTTCTCTCCTTAGCTTCTTATTTCTTAGACATGGACGCTCTCTGTTGCTGGGCGATACTGTTCCGCCGGGACTCGTCAAGCACCTTGTTGTCCTGGATGATGATGATCGTGTGCTGGTTTTCAGTGGCCACCATCACCTCCTGCTTTCGAGTACGCAGCCTCACATAGGTGAGTTGATCCGTTGGCTCCATTTCCTGGACCATGCTGCGTGCCATCGTCACCAGAGGCTGCATCTTGTTGGCATACCTCATGGTGTCCGTGTCGTTCAGGTAGATCGCACTGGTAACCCTTTTCCGTCGATCAGGATGGCGGCCAGCACGCCGGGAGTTGGGCCAGTCGATCGAACGTTGCCTGCACAGGATACGATCCCATCTTTGCTGTTGAGAATAAGGTGGAACCAAAAGTGGGAGACAAGGACAAATTTAGAGAAATTAGATTTAATCCAGTTTGTTATGGGGCATCTTACTGAGTGCTCATGACATTTTTCGGATAAATGGACCTACTAGGTCGAAACCCGAATATAATTCTTAGATACCTAATAAGACTTACCTTACCTCAATCCACTAATTAAGACTTTTATCTTCCAGGAAAAAGTGGCTAACCAATCAACCCAGCAGTTCGAACTCTATTTGCAACATCCACTTATTTCTGCACCGCGATTCCGGCGAATCCTTCCCTCGGCTATTGGCAAGGACACGCTGGCCTGTCAGTCACAGTTTGCCTGCCTGCCTGCAGCAGAAGAGTTTCCGGGGTCCGTGTCAAAGGTTGGACGTTATCCGTGCTGCAGCACGCGTCGCAGGGGAGGACATCGGCGGGTAAATGGGCGGGGCAGCCAGACGAGGCGCCGCCACCCGCAATGCGATGATGGTGATGCGGGGAAGCAATCATTTCTGGCAGCATGCGGCGACGACGACTGGCGACGACAGCGGAATGAGAATCACGTAAATGGCGTTGAATTACAGCCCGACAATCGAAGTGCTGAAGTCCCGAACTGACGAGAGTTCACTCCACTCCAACAACACCCATAACACCCTCAAAATCCAACACCCATCGGCATACTGCCATCATCCTCCCACCGCACCACTGTGCATCATTTATAAGCCGGGCTAGGCCACAGATTGTCTGGAATCGAGTCGAGTCAAGTGCGCACGCACGCTACGAAGCCGATGATGAGCTCAGGACGAATACTGGCGGAACTTTATGACTGTGGGCCATGTGGGGTGTCACGTGCCGGCCTGCGTCTGACTCTGACTCCAACTATGGCTATGGCTCCGGCTGTGGCTCCGGGCACGGCTGCAGAGCCGGATCTGGGTCCGGACTAACGCTGGCTTCCTCGCCCCTTAGCGTTGTATAATTCATTTGACGCTGTCGACCCTTCGCCGTGCGGAACTATTTATTCAATAATTCGACGTAAAAGCTTGACAGAACGCTATCCAAGGCCTGCAGGGTTTTTCCACACACACAAATTCACGAATGCTTTAATACCCAAGCCTAATAAACAATTACAGATGTCTTGAATAAAGTAGTATAAAGTACGGAATTATAACGAACAAATTCAAGGCGGTAAAAAGAAAAGAATGTATTGAAAAATATTAAAAATATTTTGGGTCTTATTAAAGAAAATTGTTTCCCAGAGTCTTGCATTAATGTTGAAATATTATCATTGATTTAATGATCTAACTAAATAGGAAAGACCCCTAAAGATTATATTCATAAGATTCGCTCCCTGGTTGCTACTACCACATATATATTATTCTTGATATTAAGAACAACTATTCTATAATTTTCAATCATTTTATTTGGAAACAAATATTAATTTATATAGTTGTCGTAGAGCAATTCCTTAAGCCATTGGGATAAAAAGCGCAACGTTCGATGGTGCATATCAGTTTGTCACCGTTCCACCTGCAATGGCGTTTTCTTGTACGACGTGCCAAACGTTCCTGATCTATATCAGCAGGTGGTGGGCCTACCCTGGTGGTGCACGTTTGTTTGTCATCAATCGAAATGGTACAATTGTGATATACACACTCAAATTTCGTATTAATCCATCGGCACTCGCGTCGACTAGCTTGGTAATCTGGGGTATAGGATTGAGTGGCAGCCAAGACGGTGACCAGACCAGTGAGTAGTACAATCTGTGGGAACCAAAGAAACCTCTTAGTTATTTATTCAATTTATTTTACATTCTATTCGCGACTTACTAGTAACTTCATCATGCTAAGACTAAGCGATCCGACAATCAAAACAAGCTTTATGTTAAAAATTATAGGGAAAATTAAGAGTGATCTTTATGTACATAGCTTCTGTGTTATTGTCAAGCTGAACGTTTTCTTGACGATTTCTAAGAACAATTAATTCAATATTCATTCCAATTAAATATATATATTTTTATAAAAAATGATTCATCAAGGTTTTATTTTTAGCGAACTCCCTACCCACCAACCATATTTCTTAAAGCAATTTTCCAAAGAGAAGTTGGGTCCACAGAGGTTATTTATTATCAGCAAGCTCTTAATGTATGTTTTCTAGGAATTTATTCCTTACTCTTGCAGAGTATTATATATAATTTTAGTCAGAAATTCAAAACGCAGTGAAGGAGTCGTGTGCGACCCTATAAATCATATATTCTTGATCAGCATCAACAGGCGAGTCAACCTAGCCATATCCGGGAGAAAATAAACTTTTTCAATTTCGAAATTAAAAAAAATATAATGGGTTAAAATCATCGTTAAAATTGTCAAAATTTGAGCAAAAAATTAAATTGTTTCATTTTTAAAACCCAGTATTTATTAGCCTTATAAAAACTAGCACATAAAAACAATCCAGAATGATTGGCTTACTTATAATAGCTAAAAAATTTGGATTTACCCATAAAATGTACATTTAAAAAATAACGATTTATTATATCTACAACTCACATACTTTGGGTTTGCTACAGGCCGAGAAACTAATAAATTTTAAAAGACATATGTACATACTTCGAATTGCAATAAAAATCGTCATATATAAAGATTATAAAACATTGATCGATTGCACAATCTAACCCATGATCCTATGCTTGAATTATAAATCCGCATAATTTTTGCAGTTTAATTTTTTTAATTTTGCGCGAAAGTTGTGTAAATTGACGATTATTTATAACTCTCAATGTCACTAGACTATCTGGCAACCTTGTACACGGTGTGCATTATCAGAATAATATATTTTACATGTTTTATACACAGAGCCGAAGTAATTTTACTTAATTCATTGTACTTGAGCATTTGACCCTTATGGTATTTATTTATTTTAAATCTATTTTTGTATAGGAAAAGAAATAAATTGAAAAGTTAATTCTCTTTACTTCTCCCTTCTTAAATTAAGACATATTTCGATAGTTCAACAAGATTCATAAGGTTTTCCATTTCCATTTTAAAATAAGTGAGCTGGACTGGTCACACTGCTCACGTGTTTCCGGTTCCCTTTCGGTCTTTTCAATTCTTTCAGCCGTCGAAGGTGGGTGTGTTTTTTGTGCAATCCTCCGACATTACTTAATTAAAGTGTTCGCTTTCGTAGTTACTGCCTAAAGCTATCATCATGGTTGCCCCCAAGAAGCAAAAGAAGGCTCTGGAGAGCACCAACGCCCGTCTCGCGCTGGTGATGAAATCCGGCAAGTACTGCCTGGGCTACAAGCAGACCCTGAAGACCCTGCGCCAGGGCAAGGCCAAACTGGTGCTCATCGCCAGCAACACGCCCGCTTTGAGGTGAGCTCGTTGTGCTACTGAGAAGTAGATTTCCATTGCGCCCAAGATGCCGTTTTTGCTGGAACCATATGGAGTCTTGCTTAAAGCTGACTGAGAAGTATGATTCCCATAAAGAGTTGATGGAAACTATGGAGTAGTACAATCAATCTCGGCCAGCGCAAGCATCAGCTACCAGGGAGTGTACCTCAGACACGACGCACTCTTTGCTACCTGCACTTCCACATGGTTCCGGCAACGACGATGGATGCTTGGGGGTAAGAACTCGTCGTGCTGTACTGTACGTTGTTAGTGTAGCACGTGTCGTGATGATACTTTGATTCCGAATGCCTTGACGAATCCTTTTTATTACTAGAGACTCTTTCTGATGACACAAATCAAATGACTTATGGTGGCGCTTCAATACTAAAGTCAAATTGCTAACATAATTATTTTTTGTCAATTGCAGGAAGTCTGAGATTGAGTACTACGCCATGTTGGCCAAGACTGAGGTCCAGCACTACAGCGGCACCAACATCGAGCTCGGCACTGCCTGCGGTAAATACTTCCGTGTGTGCACGCTGTCCATTACCGATCCTGGAGATTCTGATATCATCCGCTCGCTGGAGACGGCATAATTTAAACGCCTATTCACAATAAAGCTGTGTTTGACAAGATATTTTTTGAATAATCCGATCTTTTTATTTGTATTGTACTTGCAATTTCTATTTTTAAATGGAAAGTCGTATTGGCGCGTCTAGAAATCGCCAGGCTTTAGAATGGATATCAGTACTTCGTGGCATTCAAGTGGGAATTCCAAATGCTAGCCGCACAGACTATGTAGAACAGAACAGTTTTAAATTAAATATTTATTGTCATGCACACAAGTATCATATTCCTAACTTATTTTTAAGTACAATATTTTATATTTTGAACATTGGTCTAGATGATTTCCATATGGTTCTACAATTTTCCAATAATTCCAGTTTTAATTGTCCTTTTTTTGGGCCTGAAATTAGTAAAATTGTTATAAATACATGTATGCACTTGTAAATACTTAAGAATTTTTATTTATTTAAAAACTTACATCCTGAGCCACTTTTAGCAGATGATCGAAGCTGGCCTTTCCCGTCTGCATGACCATTCCATGGAACACTTTGGTGCTCGACTCTGTCAACAGCTCATACGGCGAACCGAACTCTACAACTCGTCCGGCGTCCATGACCAACACCTTATCGGAGTCCATGATCGTGTGCAGTCGATGGGCTATTGTCAGCACAGTACAATCCTTGAACTTGTTCCGAATAGTGGCCTGGATGAGGCCATCCGTTTGCGGATCAACATTAGCCGTGGCCTCATCCATTACTAGAATGCGATTCTCGCGCAGAATGGCTCGAGCCAAGCAGACCAATTGTCGCTGACCGACGCTAAAGTTGGTTCCGCCCTCGGAAATGCTGCTCTGCAGTCCAGTAGGCAACTCCGAGATCTCCTCCTTGAGGTGAACCTGTAAAATAATACATATATATTAGTTTCACATAAAAAACCCAGAGGAATTAATCTATACTTTACCTCTTCCAGAGCTTGCCAGAGCTTCTCATCCGGATACTGCTCAAAAGGATCCAAATTGTAGCGCATTGTGCCAGAGAAGAGCACAGGTTCCTGAGGAATAATCGAAATCTTGCTACGCAGATCGTGGAGTCCCATCTCATTGGTGTCCCTCTTGTCAATGATTATTGATCCTTCGTTATAAGACAGCCGGAAGAGGGCATTGATCAGTGAGGATTTGCCCGCACCCGTACGTCCCACAATGCCCACTTTCTCTCTGGGATTAATTGTGAAGTTCAGGTCCCTTAGCACGCAATCTGTTTCAGGATCAGGCGCATATCTTAAGCTCAAATCCTTGGCCGTCAGTTGACCTTCTTCTGGCCAACTCTTTGGCGGTTCTTTCTCAGGCGACGAGGTGTAGTCTCCTTCGGACTCCAGGTTCTTGTATTCGAGCACTCGCTCCACCGAAGTCATCGAGTTCTCCAATTCGGCGGACTGACGCATGCCCCATTGTACCATTCCTGTCATTCCCAACGCCTGAGTGATGGCCAATCCAATCTGTCCGGGATTGTTTATCGGTGGATTGAAGAAACTATTTAAGATGACCGAGATGACATAAGCCACGCAGAAGAGATCAAGGTAATATCCAAAAGCCCTGCTGGTAGAGACGAAGGTGTAGTAACCGGAGCTGTGGAGGTCCTGGTAGTTGTCGTATTGCCGGGTCAGCGTCCGCTGGGCGCCCATCGCACGTATTGTCGACAGTCCGGAAAGAGTGGCACTGAAGTGAGAGTACATAGGCGACCGAGCCACAGCCTCCAAACGCTTCACATCCCGCGAGGTCTTCAAGTAGAAATCACGCCAGTAGTAAAAGGCCAGCACCATGGCGATTGTGTTGAATAGATACCAAGGATTGGTAACGCACAGCACGCATATGATGCCAGTCAGTGTAAGGAAGATCTGGATGCAATCCAGCATCACGGCGGGCAGCACCTCATCGACCTGGCCTAAGTCCATGGCGAACCTGTTGAGGATTCGACCCGAGGGATTAGTGTGGAAGAAGTACAAAGCTGTGCGGGACACGCCCTGGAACATGGTGTTGTGCAACTCGGTGGAGGAGTGCATGGTCATGTTGAAGAACAGCAGAGTGCGCAACAAGGCGCAGATGACCAGCCCCACATTAATGGCAGCGAAGCAGTAAATGTCCACAGATGACGACGACGAGTTGTTTTTAACCCTGCGATAAAAATAATAATTAGATATTGTCTTCCATTAAAGGAATTTAGTACCCACCAATAGGAAAGGAAGTAATCCCCCCGGAGGCCAGGAGTTGAGTGCCAGCACACAGAAACACCAGCAGGGCAAAGACCACGATGCTGCAGCCGGCGCCAAAATACTTCTTATACATCGCCAAGCCAATTTTACCGCCACTACGGGACTCCTGCACCGGCGCCGAGCTTGACTTCTGCTTCGCATCCTTGTCCACAAGGGTATCCAGCGATGAGGAGCTACCGTCACCGCTGGCATTGCTCTGGGTGCTGCTCTGACGAGAGTAGGTGGGCGACTTCTCTTCCGCTTCGTCGCCACCGCCATTTGCTGTACTTTCTGCCAGCAGCTGGGCAAAGTCCTGGCCGCTCTTCAGCATTTCGTCGTAGGTACCACTGGCCAAGACCTTGCCTTTGTCCATGATTACAATAAGGTCGGCATGCTCCAAGAACTGCAACTGGTGGGTCACCAGAACCACCAACTTATCGGAGAGGAAGCCGCGCATGCATTCATCGAAGAGATGTCGACCAACATGGGTGTCTACGGCGCTAAGCGGATCGTCCAGCAGATAGACATCCGCCTTGCGGTATACAGCTCGAGCCAAGCTTATCCTAGCCCGCTGACCACCGGATAATGAAGCTCCACGTTCGCCCACCACAGTGCTATCGCCTTGCAGTAGTTCCAAGTCGCGCTCCAGGGCGCATCTCTTCAGCACGGTGCGGTAACGTTGCTTGTCCATGGGCAAACCGAATAGGATATTCTCACGCACTGATGCATTAAAAAGCCAGGGCTCCTGTGAGGCATAGGAGTACCTGCCATGGACATGGACACCTCCAGTTTCGGGCGGCAGTTCTCCTAAAATAGCCTGGACAAGACTGGACTTTCCGGAGCCCACGGGTCCAATCACGGCCACCAGTTGGCCTCGTCTCAGCGTCATACTAATGTTGTCCAGCACGGGCTCGTGCAGCTCCTGACTCCAGCGCGCTCTGAGGTCCTTTATATCCACTAGGACATCTGGTACCTTGCCATTTCCAATGGCGTTCACTGTGTGCTTCTCTTTTCCAGACAGCAGATGTTGTTCCTCCTCTGGTTTCTCATCTGTTTCGTAGGAAAGATCCAATATGTTCGCCTCGTCGCGCATCATAAAATTCTTGATACGACGCATGGAGACCAGTAACTCGGCAAACTGGGACATCCCGCTGGGAAAGAACTTGCTCACAGTCCGACGCAGAATGTTGTAGAAAGCGGTGACGCAGAAAGCCCGTTCCGCGGTAAGTTCCCCGCCCATTAGGACGAATCCCAGCAAGCTCACAAAGATGGCTATGCGTCCAAGGGTAATCTCAAAGGACAGCAAAACGCCGCGCAGTAGATTCACCTGCCGTATGGAGCTCATTTCACTGCGCCGCAGCTGCTGGATTAACCGGCCGAACGGACGCTCCCAAGTGTACATCTTGATCACTTGGATGCCCGAGATGATCTCGTTCATCATGCGCACCCGCTGATCCGTTCGCAGAGCCGTTTGCAGACGCAGTTTGGACGTCACTCGACTAAGGTAGGTTTGGAGTGGCAAGTACAGAAGCAGGATGCTGATCCCATAAAAGGAAGCCACTCCGATCTGCTGGTACAGAAAGTAGGCGGCAATCAGAAGCTCAACGGGACCCAACCACAGGAAATGGAAGTGGATCAAGGCGCGATCGAAACGATTTAGGTCGTTGGAGAGCAGGTTCACCACCTGGCCGGTGGTTGTGTCTCCAAGGGAAGTGCGGCTCAGGCGCAGAGCCTTGCGATAAATGGCACTGCTCACCGCCACCCGCATCTTCATGGCCAAGTGCTGAAAACAAAACAATGATTAAATAATGTCTGTGCAACTAGTAAGATTATTCAATCCTTACCATCATGCCCATCATATACGGATGCGTGAGAAGGACGCTGGCCAGGATGCATGCTATCAGGAGCACGGCATAGATCTGGGCGGGGTAACTATTGCCATTTCCATTGGCACTAAACTCCGATATCAGCCCAGACAGAAGAAGCGGCACCGTGGCCCTGTAACGGAATGAAAAATTAATAAATTAATTGATTACAAGTTGTCAGTTTCTTATCGTCTGATAAAATAGAAGACTCACCTAGTGCCCAGCTCCAGGGCGGCGATAATAATTCCAGAGAGCAGGAGCTGCCAGCCAAAGACACGTCCGATGACCCGCAAGACGCTTGGCTCCCGCTTGGTGTCCGCCTTTCGCCGGCACATCGCCACCTCGTCCTCCCAGGCGCGATAGAACTCATCGCCCAGGCTCTCCGCTCGGTGTTCGTCCAGGGCATTGTACAGATCCGTGGGCTGGAGTGTTTGCTTGCGGCCCTTGAAGAGTATGGGCAGGGCAAAGCTGGAAAAAGAGAAGTCTTATGTAAATCGATTTCGCAATGGTCAGCAATGTTACTTATGCTACGAACAATATTGTGTACGATAACAGTTGTCTTCGGATGTCAGTTCTCAATGCGGCAGCTGTCGCTTAAGGTTCTTATAGCATGTGATTGGATGTATTGCGTACCAGAACATTAGCGAGGATAAAATACCTGCCGACTGGCGCGGATTGGGCGGCAGCTTGTTGGCCTGCAACATGGTTATGCAAATGGTCGCGCACTTTCGACTGTTTTCATAAATAATTAAACAAGCGATCGGTGCTTAGCATATGCTATAGCTTCTGCTGCGGCCTAAGCTCCAATATTTCATCACAATTTCACCACAAGCAAGCACAAATCGATGCCTTGACACGCGTAACTCAGTTAGCAGACGCAATTGATCCAGTACAGCATCAGGATTTCACAACGCGATAGAAGCCAAAATAAATCGGAAAACTTTCCGTTCACCAGACACGCAAAACAAAT